TTTTCATACTAACAAGGCAATTAGCAATCATTACAAATTTCTACTCTGGGTGGCCTACAGGCAGATACTGGTAATGATTTCACCACATTATTTAATCTACAATTCATGGGTCTGAGAGCACATGTAAGACAATAAGACATGCATAAAAGTTGAAATCCTGAATCCTGGGCTAAAAATGTATTTTTCTGCCACCACTCCCTCTGCCATATCTTATTAACCCTATGTGCATAATAGATCTCCAATATCTACATAGTTTAGGTGAGCGCGGGGCAAGTGTTTCAGGTAAAGCAGTTAGGTGGAAATTACAGCAGACAGGAGGCACTGACACCAAAAAGGGTTATAAACGGTGCTCCCTACTCCCCAAGGACGATCTGTCACGCTGCAATCACCGTTAAGGCCACCGGGAGACCAGAGCAGACCAGAGGGAAGGGAGACGAGACTCCTGACAACTAAATGACAACTACACATAAAACAGAATTGGTTACATTAGAGCAAGCACAACAGTTAAAATTTGCCTAACAACTTTAGTCATGTGGCTTGGCAAAAAAGCAGCAGACGCCAGAAACCAGCCCAGGTTGTAAACATAACCATAAACTACGAGCATTTAGTGTGGCTAGCAGGTTGGAAGCAGCTTTTCACAAAGCTAGCTGTTAATTAAACAGCTTCAAACACTGTTACTGACCTCTGTCAACGTCCTTGCACTCAATACAGCCAAACCTTCCTCTGTGCAGCTGGCATGATTTCACCACGCAAAAATAAATAAATAAAAATGGAAAAGAAACAAAGAAGACTTCCTGAATCAAATTTAATTTAATCTGATTAAATTTGGATGATTTCATAGGTCCAGTTTGACAGCACCTTTACAAACATCTGCATCTAACCTAACTGACCGAACCATAACATCAGTCAGAGCACAAACACAGCCAACATGCTAATTTTTCAAAATATGTTAGTTGTTTTATTATGAAATGTCTGCAAGGGCACTATACTACAAGGACAACATGTTTTTTTAAAAGCCCTGATCTTACAATGACATGAAAAACCTTCAAACAACAGACTGTATATTAAAGATGGATGTTGCTTCTGGAGCTGAAAAGAGAAGCCAATGCAGAAATTCCTCAAACTCACGAGTGGAGGATGCTATTCCTCTAGTTGTAAAAATAAGTTCGACTGTCTAGGAGAGAATGACTCTAATGTTTATCTGTTTTATGACCTCAGTATACAGTTTCCTGATCACTTTATGTTTCAGCAGCTAGCTTCAAATCTTTTTAATATAGCATGAGCTTGAAGATTATGGCTCCATAAATAAAGCACAGGATTCTTTGAGGAGTGATTTTACAATCTATCCTATCCTGTCACAGATGCTGGGTTTAAAAGATTTAAAGCCACTAATATTTTCATAAATATTAGTGGCTTTACTTCTGTGCAAACAATCTTTATGTGGGAATGATAGGTGTGCAAATCTAAATTAAATTTGCTAATGAGTGAATCTATATTCTATGGTTATTTACTAAAATAACCATAGCAGATGCACAACTTCCACTTTTCTCCATGTTCATGTTCGCCAGCTCTCTGTGGCCTCATTTCATATGCAGGTTCATCTGGCTCTGGACAAACGTGGGTCCTTGCTGCAGAGTGGCCCTACAGTCTCCAGGGCCAGGCCCTCTATTCAAGGTCCCCAGGGGCCAACCCCCTACCCTGCTTACCTGCTTCAGTTAATATGAGCAAGCTATGGCTGCCATATGTGAAGCTGTAGGAAAGCAGATGCTGTTTTTCCATTTGTGAAATCAAGTTTTTGGAAAGCAGTCAGCATTTTGATGGTCAGGCTGAAGCAAGTGCAAAGGGGTGAAGGCAGCAGAAAGGCAGCAGGGACAGTTGTTTGGTGTTTTGTGCACATACTGCAAGGTCTCATCATAACTGCGAGGATGTGAGGATATGCTGATCTCGCAAAGTGAGGGCATGCCATTGTTTTTAATGCGTCAACTCCTGCATTCATCCATGAAAGTTCAAAGACACACACACACAGGCGCAGGCATAAACACAGTCACGATGTGTATCTGTCTGTAGCTGAGTAGTTCCTTTGTCAGTCATCTGCTGATACTGATAGACAATACGGGGTTGAGGATGCGTGTCATAAAAGAGAAAAGCCTGAGTGAAATGACAGACTCTCTCGCCATCCCTCTCCTCCACTGCCTCCATCTCTCACTCTCCCCAAACATCTCACCCACAGCAGCCTGGATTGCTATGACAAGCCTGACACCTGTCAGTCATGCACTCACAGACAGGATGGAGAGGACAGCAGCATACACAGGTCCACATGTTAGAGCAGAGTAGTACTGACCTCACTTTACCACTCATCCACACACACACAGTGCACAGGTAGTGCTGCCACACTGTGACACTCCTGATGTGGCCCCTGTGAAACAAACTGTTTTTCCTAACGTGGCTGTGTAGCATTTAAAGCAAACAGGGAAATTATTAAATAAAACACTGGTAATTTAATTCCTTCTGCAACAGTCTGACAGCAATAATCCATAAAGTAATACACTGTGTAATGTTTTGATGTGGATAATATTAATGCTACAATTAAAGTTGTGCTGACTTGATGTTTGAAAGGTTAGATTTCACACGATTATGTGCCAAAGCGCCCAACGACCGCCACCACCGACTCCCTCCTGGCGACAAATTTCATTAACAAACCTGATGTATACAGAACGCGCAGCCACACTTCAAATGGAGGACATAAATTTCAGCCTGTGGGGTACAGCGGTCACATTACAACTAATCAAGTGCTCTCCCTGTACCGTTCTGGAAAAAAAAAAGTCTTCTTCTGTTGAGATGGGTGGGGGAAGATAAAGGAAAATATGACGCTTTATTTCTAATCAGCATAAATTACTAGCATCCATCAGGTGAGGCTCAAATTAAAATCCTCATCTGACAAAGCGATGGGAAATGTGCGAGCTCACTCATGAATCAGTGTGATTTAAGCCAATCATAAGATGGCCTCAAAGCCAAAACTCACACTAAGGTTTAACCCAGTTGCCCCTTCTTTACATTCTGTCACTAAATCTTGAAGGGAATGTGTGGTTCTGAAAGCCAGACAGGGTTCAGACACAATCGCAAAGGAAAACAAGTCCTGGCTTCATCGTTAGCGCATGTATCAGTGGCTGTGTTGCACTGTAGCCTTCTGTGCCGTCTAGGGGTTGCGCTGATCTATTTCATGCCAGACATTTTGTCACAGTAGGGAAACCTCGGGTCTATTAATGAGGGCTGCGTTCTACTTAGAGGAGGTCATGCTTTTGCGCATGCTGGTTAACTGTCATGGCTGACAGGGACACTTAATGCAACTGAGCCATCATTAATCCCACCTATGGTCTCCCCAAAGCAGACAAAATGTCTGGTTTGAGAAAGGTCTATTAGCTACCGCTGCAGCTGATGATACTTTGCTTTATTAATCTGCTAGCACCAACACTGCTCCTGCTCTGAGGTCAAGTGGATCGCCTGCTGAAACAAACCCAGCTGGCAGTTACTGAACATTTCTCTTAAGGATTGCCTCCACACTCTTAACATGTTAACATATTCTCATGCTTTTTTGTTGTTGTTGGTGTTTTTTAATGACACATCCTGAGAGAAACAGGCAGTGAACACTACAGTCAAGGCTGCACCAAAGACAGCCCCCCCAAAAAAACCACTTAAAAAGACAGATAGGGTTTCACAGTATCAAACTAGTGGATCAAATCCTGACAACATGAGGGGCAAGGCCAACTTGTCAGAGCTGGCAATTACAGAACAAGGTTCATCTAACATGGGCAACACATTATTAGCTGCTGACAACACCAGTCAAATCAAAGGATGTTGTCTTTGCTCTATCTTTTCACTTCAGCTCAGCGTGAGAGTCTTTGCTGCTGGTTTGCTGCTCTCATTGACTCTGTTTCACTGTGTGCACGCGTGCGTGTTAATCCTCTGCTCATCTGCAGAGCTCACT